TTTGGAACGTCCTATCTCCGCGGGGAGTTATGTCGTTTATGAACTTCATATCTCCGCGAGGAGTTATGTCGTTTTGAAACGTCATATCTCCACGCGGAGCTATTACTCGAGATATTATGTCCTTTTGGAACGTCATATCTCCGAGCGGAGTTATGTCGTTTTGGAACGTCATATCTCCGCGGGCAGTTATGTCGTTTTGGAACGTCATATCTCCACGCGGAGCTATTACCCGAGATATTATGTCGTTTTGGAACGTCATATCTATGCGGGGAGTTATGTCGTTTTGGAACGTCATATCTCAGCGGGGATTTATTACCCGAGATATTATGTCGTTTTGGAACGTCATGTCTCCGCGGGGAGTTATGTCGTTTTGGAACGTCATATCTCCGCGGGGAGTTATGTTGTTTTGGAACGTCATATCTCCGCGGGGAGTTACGTCGTTTTGGAACGTCATATCTCCACGCGGAGCTATTACTCGAGATATTATGTCGTTTTGGAACGTCATATCTCCGCGGGGAGTTATGTCGTTTTGGAACGACATATCTCCGCGGGGAGTTATGTCGTTTTGGAACGTCATATCTCCGCGGGGAGCTATTACCCGAGATATTATGTCGTTTTGGAACGTCATATCTCCGCGGGGAGCTATTACCCGAGATATTATGTCGTTTTGGAACGTCATATATCCGCGGGGAGTTATGTCGTTTTGGAACGTCATATCTCCACGCGGAGCTATTACCCGAGATATTATGTCGTTTTGGAACTTCATATCTCCGCGGGGAGCTATTACGCGAGATATTATGTCGTTTTGGAACGTCATATCTCCGCGGGGAGCTATTACCCGAGATATTATGTCGTTTTGGAACGTCATATCTCCGCGGGGAGTTATATCGTTTTGGAACGTCATATCTCCGCGGGGAGTTATGTCGTTTTGGAACGTCATATCTCCGCGGGGAGTTATGTCGTTTTGGAACGTCATATCTCCACGCGGAGCTATTACCCGAGATATTATGTCGTTTTGGAACTTCATATCTCCGCGGGGAGCTATTACGCGAGATATTATGTCGTTTTGGAACGTCATATCTCCGCGGGGAGCTATTACCCGAGATATTATGTCGTTTTGGAACGTCATATCTCCGCGGGGAGTTATGTCGTTTTGGAACGTCATATCTCCGCGGGGAGTTACGTCGTTTTAGAACGTCATATCTCCACGCGGAGCTATTACTCGAGATATTATGTCGTTTTGGAACGTCATATCTCCGCGCGGAGTTATGTCGTTTTGGAACGTCATATCTCCGCGGGGAGTTATGTCGTTTATGAACATCATATTTCCGCGAGGAGTTATGTCGTTTTGAAACGTCATATCTCCACGCGGAGCTATTACTCGAGATATTATGTCGTTTTGGAACGTCATATCTCCGCGGGGAGCTATTACCCGAGATATTATGTCGTTTTGGAACGTCATATCTCCGCGGGGAGTTATGTCGTTTTGGAACGTCATATCTCCGCGGGGAGTTATGTCGTTTTGGAACGTCATATCTCCGCGCGGAGCTATTACCCGAGATATTATGTCGTTTTGGAACGTCATATCTCCGCGCGGAGTTATGTCGTTTTGGAACGTCATATCTCCGCGGGGAGTTATGTCGTTTTGGAACGTCATATCTCCGCGGGGAGTTGTAGCATGCGTACATATGTATATACATACATATGAATAAGGCTGCAACACTTTGTTGTTATGCCAACAGAATGCAAACATAAGCAGCGACTTTGTCGCAGCGCGCCTAACGCTAAGTGCCCTCTGCGCATATTCAAGTGCAGACGAAATATGATCCGCACTTGATAGCAACGACCGCCCAAATAGCTAAGTCAGCGTTCTCACGCTTGACCGTCGCTGTGTATACATATGTGCGCGCATGACTCTCTCTGACTCTCTTGTTGTATATAATAAGCCTAAAAACCATGTATGTAAAACGGCTGCTCACTGCTTCACGGTGGACAGCTCTAACTCCAAAAAACATTGAATAAAGAACCATCAAGGAAGACTGACGTCTTTTCATCAGGGACTATTATATTATATGGCGACCGTGACAGGACACAACAGACCTGGACATGGAAGGACAGCAGCAACGGCAGTAACAAAAAAAAACACACAACAACAACTATACAAAACAACAACAACTATGAATCGTGTTACAAGTGATGACCAGCAGTCAACAAGTGTGAGAGGCAATCCGTCCCTTACGCCAGCGCGGGAGACTTAGAGATTGAAAGAAAAAAAAAAACTGAAAGTCTGAGTGAGTAGAGTGCGAGTAATGGGCAAGCGCGGAGGCCAGAAAAACAAAATAAACAAAAGAATAGCACACATTAAGTGGCTATTATACACGAATACGCCGCCCACATGGGCAACGGCACAAAAATTAACTGCCGAACTTGATTTTCTGAAAGAAAGCCTCCAGCAAAGAAAGCCAAATACCGCAACTCACTCAGCAAATATCAAAGTTATAAATGAAAAACTAATGAAAAAACCACCATCTCCAAAGCCGTTGCCGAAAAAACCTGACGTCTGCCCGAACGACTGCCCTGGACCACTATACGCCCCAGCATGCAAATCCACATGCTTGGGACCAAAGACCAGTACGAAGACCGGCACCGGCCCCGCCTGAGCCAATAGGCCACGGATATCAGCAGCACTGAAGGCAACAGCGCGAATGGCACTCCGCCACTTTTGCCTACGAAGGACCGTCAGCGTAGCCAAACCGGGCACGACCAGCTGACGCGGAGGACAACTGAACATCTGGAGCAACAGTTAACATTATTATAATAAAATTTGTAAAATTGTGCGGAACCATCTCCGCTCAATTAGAAGCTATACAAACCAATAGGTAGAAAAACTTGTTAACGTAAAATTTAGTGAAGATACAACAAATAGTTATAAATACACTCTAAAAATATATACGCCTAAAATGGCAATAGTAGACGTTAAGTCAGTGGACTCCACTGCCAGTGTCATTAATAAAGTAGAGTCAAATAATATTGACTTAGAACTAATGCACACACACTGTTAATAATAATTGTTGTTATTATGTGCGCAAATTGTTTTTATAAACTATATAAATTACATAACAAATATTTAAAAAAGAAATATATGAGCCAGGCAAATGACCTAGACAAAATTTAATTTAAAAAAAAAATTGTAGGAACATTTTCCTTTGTTAATTAAAAATTATTCTTTTAAGCAAAGTATACTTATAAAATAACTTCATAATATTACGTTATTTTTCAAAAGGAGGGAGATGTAGTATACATATATATTGAATATCTACTGTACCAATAGCACTTAAAGAGAACACACTGTAACACTTTGTTGCTTTGTGAACATTGGAAGCGGCACCTTCGCTGCTCCCAAATTAATATAAAGATTATTCAAAAGTATATCAGTCACAACATCACAGACACCATTAATCAAATAATCAAAGCAAAAAGGAATGATTTTGTTGACACTCCACATTTGTACGAAGCGTTATTGGCGAGGAATATAATGTTAATAACGGAAATTCAAAACCTAATGCTCACAATCACTCTCGCCAAGTCTTACATAGTAAACCCCACCGCTTTCGGCCATAATGATTTGAAGTCTCTAGTTGAACACACCATAGATGTCCCCACAGTTAGCTTAATGGAAGCATCCAATATTAAGATCTTTCAGTCGGAAAATATACATATACTAATCGCATACCCCAGAATTAAGTTTATCTGTAAGAAGATCATCGCATTTCCTGTGGCACACCAACACACCGTACTGCAACTACAAGATGACACCGTGGCCAAATGCAAAGACGATACCCTAGCAGTCTCGGAATGCACCACAACCTATTATACATTTTGCAAGGCGGCAAACCATGACACTTGTGCTCGGACACTACATGCTGGCAGCATAGCCCATTGCCAATCGCAACCGAGTCATCTAAGACCAAATGTACTCGTGGACGACGGCTTCATAATCATCAACGAAAGCCCGGCCCGAATCAGCACTGACGACGGCCCCGAAATATCAACAAATGGCACGCATCTCGTCACCTTTGAACGCTCAGCTATGATCAGCGGCACTAAGTATGTGAACCAACGCGAAGCCCTAAGCAAAGTAACAGGCATTGCGGGATCGCCACTTTTAAACATCAACAGCCACGATCCAGTGTTAAGCATGCCGCTCCTTCATAAGATGAATAACCAAAACTTGCACACCATCCAAGAGTTTTCAGCTGCTGTAGGATTCAGCCCCCTTTTACCGGCTCGCTCCTCCTTTTCCAAGTATTTAGGAGAAGACGAGATTGAAGGCAAATACAACAGGTCATCGATAAGTTTAGTACGACCGAGGGCGGTCTTAAAATCGAGGGGGGAGTAGTTAACAAGTAAACCCCGCAGCTACTTAGTTACTAAGTAGCCCGCGTAGGCTTTGTGAATTGCCATTTAAGAGTATTTTTTGAACAAAGGCAACGCTTTGTCTTCCATTCTGTTATTACTTAATACATATGTATGTACATTCCTTTGCCGCCCACTCGGCTGGCTCTGCACGTTTTGCAACACTGCTTTTGACTTTTCAATTAAGAATGTTAAACGTTCAAGCCGCGAGGCCTTTGCTCTCTTTCTCTCAATCACTGCGCTCTCACACTCACACTCTCCTCTCCCCGCTCTCTCTCTCTCTCTCTCTCTCTCTCACCCTCTCCGCCTATCTTGCTGCCAGCACATATCACATTGCACACCGTTATTTGTACAAATTAAATAATTTCTTTTGTGTTGAAGCTCAAGTTAAATACACATAAAAGTGCACACACACACACACACACACACACACACACACACACAATGTACATGCATGCATACATACATACATGTATGTATTTACGTAAGTTGTTTGTTCGTCTTTGTCCGGCTGTGGCTAAAAACTGATTTTAAAAATCACACACACACACATGCGCACTTACAGTTTTGATCAATACACTTACTTTAAGAAAAAGCTTGGCCAGCTGGGCCGGGCAGGGCTGGGCTGGGCTGGGCCTGGGCCTGGGCAGTTGTTGCCCGTTCGGTCAATGCGCGTGCTTGAATGTTGTGCTTATTGCCGTCTTCGTTGTTGTTGTTGTAGCTGTTGTTATTATTGTTGTTGTTGTTGTAACAGCTATTGCGCAAGTCTGGCCGCTTGCTGTTATTATTGTTGCTGCCTTCATTGCCATTGTTGTTGTTGTTGTTGTAGGACTCGGTTTACTTTCGCATTGTCGCTCGTCTCAGTTGTCTGCAAAATGCGAAGAGACAAAAGGGCAACAAATGATTACAAACATATTGAAGTTTGTGCGAGGGTTGCTTTAAAAGTTAGTTGAAAACTTTAAAAACACTGCAAATAATTATTAACTAATGCCAAGTCCAATTCTGTTGTCAATACTAAACCGTTCCAATATATAACAAGTAAGAGGTTCTAGTCGGGAGCTCCCGACTTGGGGATACCCTGAACCCTCTTCTTCCAACATCAAATGCATATATACATTCTATTTTAGAAGCTATATGTCAAGTTTGGTGACTCTAGCTCTTATTATTTACCAAAATTGCCCAAAAAACAGAATATCGATATCGGTTTTTATCGATTGCTTGAAAACGGAGTAAGTTATCGATTATCGGAAACAAACTCGATCTGCGCAGGTACTGGGAGCAAAAATTTCTCTAGCTCTTATAGGTTCTGAGATCCTTGCGTTCATACATACGGACGGATGGACGGACGGACATGGCTAGATCGACTCGGCTATTGATGCCGAGTTGGAATGTTGAACTTAAAAACCTTTTACATGCTTTTTCTTTCTCCTTTTTTGCTGGAATTTTAACTTCTGTCTAAGCGCTTACATTATGTGCAAATGTGGCTTCCTGTGTGTTAAAAACAACTTAAGAAAGCACTTTAATATTTTACAGTTAATATATTTTACTCTTCCATATGTTTATAAGCCCACCTCGATTGCGAAACATAGAACAACTTACACGACGCGCCTGAGCCGCAAATTGAAAACGGAAAACGGACTTGAACGAACTTTTAATGCCCTATATATATGTACACATATGTACATATGTATGTATGTATACTATAGCTTGATCTGGATTATAATAAATGGCCTAGCGTAGCCTCAGCCGAACCATATTGCCAAGTCTTTAAGTTTTTCAGTTGAAGAATTCATGTGTGCATATGTATATACATGCGTGTGTATGTGTAGGGTACATTATAATGCATTAATTAAAGTATATACTCTGTGAATGTTTTTAAAACGCTGAGCGTAAAATGTAAATGGGGCACATTGCAATTATTACTTGAAAAATTGCAGAGCGTACAAATTAAAATTGCCGCTAAACTCGATTAATGAACGGAGTGTGCGAGTGTCTCTGCGTGTGTGTGTGTGTGTGTGTTTGTGTGCATGCTGAAAGTATCGCATTTTTGCTGTATTTGCCAATTTGACAAAAAGTACTGAAAGATACAGTCACGTACTCCGGCTGCTCGAACTGAAACTCGCTGTCGTATCCGCAAGATACATTCGTATTTATAAGATACAAACACACACACACACTCAGACAGATACATGTGTGTTTGGCATTAAAAAGACGCTGATATGCGCGCACCAGTTGACGAAAGATGCCCCATTCCCCTGCGACCGACCCCTACTCTTAACCCCTACCCCAACCCCCGCCGTGTTATACCTCATTTAGAGCACAACTCCAACGTGAATCGACATCATCTGCGGATCGACTGCCGCACGGCTGCTGAGCGTGACGGTGACACGTTGCGCCGGGATTATGCAAAAACGCAAAAGAAATTGCAGCCGCGGTCGCTGTGGCTGTGGCTGTGGCAGTTGCAGTTGCAGCTGCAGCTGGGAGACACGTAAATTGCACGCATTTGCGGCTGCACAGTGGGACCAGTGTTGGGGAAGTCATGCTTGTTTCAGTAAACAGTAAAATGCTAAATATTTAGATTGAAATGAGGAAATGAAGGTGTTGTAATTGTTTACAAACATTCAAAGAAAACAACAGCAACAACAAAAGGCGACACACAAACAAACAATTAAAATATTCCAAGTAGCCGCAGCGCTCTATAGTAAACAATTGCACAACATTTGATTACAGTAAATAACAGTGTTGGAAAGTTAACTGACACTCACAATTGCGTTCAGGTACAGCTACAATTTAGTCGGCTAATATATTGTAAACAAGACAAAATTGAAAATTTTCCTTCTTTAGAAAACTAGAATAAAAGAACGTTTGCATTTTCTGATCTCAGTAATTTCTATATAATATTTAACTGAACTGAAAAAAAAACCTGTAGAAAATAATTTCTAATTTCTAGTATGTTTTGGCTTTTCGCTTTGCTTTGCAAAGTGTATGAAAATTGGTTTATTATTAAGCTAAATGAAAACGAGCGACACGAAAAAGATTTCTCAAATGAAATATCTGGAATATCTTTCCATGGTTATTTTGAAATTCTATTTTAATAGAGCCCTTTAATTATGAACTGCGATTAAGAGATATCACATGATATTCCAGGCAATAAAAATCTCATGAATTACGTGATAGCCATGTTAATTGAGAGTTGTTCGAGAAGTTGAATGAGTTCTTGACCGAAATGTGCGACATGTGCTCGACAGCTCTTAAGTATTCACGTGTGTGTTTGTGTGTGTGTGTGTGCGTGTCGTTAACTTGGCTGTGACCCGGCACAGTTTTAAGCCCGGCTTGTTTATGTTTTTCTTTCTTTTGGATGCGTCGTCGCTGGCATTGCCCAAAATGTTGCTTGCGTAACCCTCGAGAGCGACGATAATGGCCCATGGGGCAGGTTGAAGCCGGAGCTACTGCTATATCTGTGTGTGTGTGTGTGTGTGTGTGTGTGTTGACCGAGACCGTTTCGGGTAAAACCACCTCAATAAACACACACACAACATCACGCAGTCATTTCGGAGCGCGTTGATTATTAGCTTCGTAAACATGCCAGACATGCCCCTTGGCACCCCCCCGCACCACGCACCACGCACCACGCACCCGGCACCCCATCGCTCGGCCTTGCAGCTCAACAACATCTGTTTGTGCAGGCTGTGACGCAGCCAAATATATATGTATATAGCATATATTTGTTTAACAACAACCAACAAAAACAACAGAACACAAAAAAAAAAAAAAAAAATCAATCAATTTTGCATCATTTTCATTTCGATTTCGATTTCGATTTCATTTTCAATTTCATTGTGCTTTTCCGCATTTTACCCTGTGTTCAACTGCGCGAAATGGGGTATAACAAAGTTGTGTAAATGTATGTAAGAAGCGCAGGAGGAGATAGAGTGAGAGAGAAAGAGAGACGAACAGAGGCAGAGAGTGAGAGAAAGAGACAGAGCGATAAAGAGAGAGACGAAGAGGAGACAAAGTGAGAAAAACGAAGAGAAGACAGAGTGAGAAAGAGATATATAAAGAGAAATATATATAATATAAAAAGAGAAGAAAAGAGAAAATAGAGAGAGACGAATAGAGGGAAAGGAGAGAGTGGGAAAGAGGGAAAACTAGAGAGAGATGTAGAGAGCTGTCATGAGAAAATGGTAATAAATTTCATTTTTTACTCAATAAATTGAATGAATTTGATAGTTTCAATTATAGCTGGCTGCAGGGTATCTGGCAGTCGGGCACACATGTTGCATTGTTGTTTTTATATACATTCGGGCTGTTGTGCAATGTGTCAGCCATAAGACCAGTGAGACACTCAGCCGGAGTGTGGCCAGAGGAGAGGCATTCTTCTTATTTCTTATCGGAGTGTGTAAAACGTGTGTCCATTTGTCGAACTGGCTGCCTATCAATATTCGTAATATTTAAATGGTCTCAAGAGGATGCCAAGCACACACACACACACACAGAGAGAGAGAGAGAGAGAGAGAGAGAGAGAGCTTGTGTGTGTGTCAAGGGTTGCGCTGATTATTTTATGGCCATGTGGAAATCTACAGGAAATGTCCGAATAGCCAGCGGCCAACGTCGGCGACCGACAGCGATGTGTTTTCCAATGAAAAGCAATGAAAAACATTTAACATTATTTGTTGTTGTTTTTTTTTTATGGCACTTTCAAGTGGTTCGCAACAAAGCAACAGTTGAAGCAGCCGAATTAGATGCGGACTAGATTGTAAACTTGGCGCATGGCCGTAAAACAATTAAACAGCGCAACAAAAAGGGCCAGACACAGAGCTGGGTATGTGAAATGTAACCATTTGGGCCAAACGGAAATAACCAAAAGAATCCAGACATAAAAACAAGGTAAACATGTTAATAACATGCGTGAGGCGCCGCGGCGCCTTGTCCAGCAGTGTTGCAAAGTTTTCCCATTTTACAAAACCAAAAACCTAACCCAACACACATGTGTGCGTGTGCGTGTGTTGATTAATTCCCACAGTTGTCACAGTGTGCATACATATGTCCTTTTAATTCCCAATTTCCCTTCTCATTCTGGGCATATTTGTATGCACCGTAATTCCCGTTGATTTTTACCCAGTGAAAAAGTCACATGCTCGGGCACGCATGCCGGCAGCACTTACTGAGGCTCGTGGGCGTACCAAATGGTTCACGCTCATTAAATAAACACACATTGCGAATTTCGATGGGCTTAGTCAACACAAAGAACTGCCGCTGATCAGTTGTTCTATATATAACTCAATCTGTAAGCCAGTATTCCTATTCCTATACTATATAATATAGCAGCATCCGAAGCAAGTTTCTTCGGTCTAGCTTCAAGCCTGACTGAGTTCACATGGGGTGTTCGGGCATGGGATCTATTGCAAATGAAAAGTGTTTAGAAATGGGCAGCGAGTCTTTCATAAGAATCTGGGCCTAGTGGGGCCTTAAATATTGAGAGAAGCTTCTTGAAAGAAATCATATTAATATATTTCCTATTTGTAATTATAGACTTGATTCATTTTCGACTAATGACTAATTTGCTGGACTTTTGTTGGGTTCTCAGCAAGCGGCAAGACTTTTGCCAGATCGTATTACCCCATTAGAGAACCCAACTGATAAAACTGGGTACAGCTGCTTTATTTTATTACGGACGCACGATGAGTAACTCCATGCTTAAAAGCGTGTACAACCTGACGAGATCTAAATTTCAGTTAAAGTGCAGATATATTTTCTTTGGATTTTCTTTTTTGTTTTCTTTTAGGTTCTGTTTGCGCTCGAGAGAAAGTGAGGTAATTGACAGCTCTACGGTTGGGTATTTGTTTGTGTATTTGTTTGGGGTGTGTCTCGATTACAAGATTTACCTGTGCGTCTGTTTCTTTTTTTTTTTAAGCACATAATCTTATCAGCTTAACGTGTGCGCACAGTGCTGGCCATGTAATTAGTGACACTCTGGCTAGTTGCTTAGTTTGCAGTGTTGGAAAATGCATAAATAATTAGAAAGCGCTTCTTGCCAATGTTCTTAATTCGTAATAATGCCCGTGTCCGTATCGTCCGATGCAAGTACGTTTATATACAAAGAATTATTGTTGTTCAATTTAATTAAAATTTAGAGAATAAACTAAAACTTGGTCCATGTTAAAAATATAATGATAACAATAATTAAAAATCGATATTTATCGATTTTGATGACATGATAAATGTGTGTAAGCTTCCCCAATTATGTGACCACCACTGTATGTGTTTATTGGACTAACACCTACCTTAGCAAATGGTCTCCATGGGTATCTTTGCGGCAACCTGGCCGCTCGGACTGGCTGCAGGTTGTGGGGCATCCTCTGCAACGGGGCTGGCTGGCGACATGACAGCGGCTGTTGCTGTTGTTGTTGTCGTTGTGTTGTTCATGGAGGTGTTTTGGGTGAACTCGGTGCCATTGGCAAGGGAGGGCAGGCCCTGGGAGCTGCTCGAGTGCTGGACACCGTTGGTCGTATTGGTGATATCGTGCCGTAGACGCGGACAGCAGATGCGCTTGCAGGCGGTCCACACCTGCGGCTGGCAGCCGACAACAATGAATATGAAGACGCCCTGAAGTGCATTGATCAGATCCGTCAGCAGCCAGACATCATGTGGGCCGCCGACCAGCCACGAGATTATGTCCCAGATCCAGGTGACGCCCATGACGACGACCAGCTTCAGGCAGACGCGGCCCAGCGCCGATTTCTCCGTTGTTGACTTGACATCGTCGCGCTTCCACAGGCCGCAAGTCAGCTGATGCGTTGTCGATATAAAGAGCACTATGTTGGCGCACAGCAGCAGTCCGATGGGCCCGTAGAAATAGGCAAATATGGCCAAGGAGCGATTGTCGAACCAGCAGTACAGCTGGCCAAAGCCTGGACGCAGCAGCGCGGTCTCCGTTTCCGGCAGCTGGTCCACGCAGGCGGCAATGGCGCAGATGAGAAGCGGCAGGCCCCAGGCGTATGCCGAATAGAGCCGGAGACGCAGTGACTCCTGATTGCGTTCCAGCGAGCTGGGACGAAAGTCGCGGAATGTCCACCAAATGTTGAAGCACATCGTGTTCAGCCAAAAGAAGGCCGACAGAAAGAAGAACTGCATACCGATCGCCAGCAGTAGGCAGCTGACTGTGCCGGGCACCAGGGCCGTGCTCAGCTCCTCGATGGCCAGCAGAATCTTGCCCAGCAGCAGGCAGAATACATAATAGATCTGGCAACGCCAGTGCAGCGCATGATGCACCGCGGGCAGCATATAACCAGCGACCAGCGTGGCAGCCAAAAATACAATCGATATAAGAATGCCCACGTCCAGGACAGCCTTCTGGAGGCTGCCCTCGACACCGCCGTACGGCACATTGTGATGCCCCCCGGCAAAGTGCTGGGTGCAGGCAATTATTTTCACCTCGCCCGCCCGCTCCGTATGCTCCAGGCAATACTGCACGGCACTCAGATTCGTATGGGTCAGCCGGAGATCGCCCGTGCTGCGATTGAGCGTCGCCTCGTGCCAGTCGCCGGCAATGGCATAGCCGCTGCCATTGCCCAGGCACTCGGGCAGGCCGTAGCTGGTCTGGTAGCTGCCCGGCAGCAGCTGTGGCGCCAGATGCAGCTGCAGTTGCCCGCTGTCCGCACGCTCGGCGGCCGTTTGCAGTGTGCAGCCCTTGGTGGCGCTGTCGTAGCTGCCCCACTTGCCGCAGCATTTGCGCAGGCGCAGCGGCGCCAATGTCGTTGCGGCTGGTTGCAGTGTATCGCCGGCCGGAGCCGAGCCGGGCGCACGTTCTCTGTCCATGGCGGCCGGCGCTGGTTCGCTGTCCAGGCAGACGAGGGCCACATCCTGATCCACACAGTAGCTGGCTGGCTCGACGAGCAGGCCACGCTCCCGCACCGACATGGTGCCATTGGGAAAGAGCACCACGTTCGCTTGGCGGCTGCTGAAGAGCTCCTGTTGCTGGCGCTGCGCCTGGCAGTTGGGCCGCACATTTGGCTGGAACTTGATGAAGCGCGGCTTGGCGCCCTTTGGCTCAAAGAAGCGCTGCTGCTGCTTCAGATACACCAGCGGCACCCACATCTCCGAGGAGCCCGCTATGCACTCCAGCGTCGTTCCATTCAAATATTCGCCCTGGTGGCAACACTTGTTCAGGAGAACGCGCGGCGGCGGCGTTCGCCCCGAGGCGCTTGCTGGCGCTGTTGTTGTTGTTGTTGCCGTTGGTGTTGCTGCAACGCCTGTGACTAGCTCTTCTTCTTGTTGACCGTTTGCTGCGCAGATCAGCAGCAACAGCAGCCAATAGTTATTCATCTTAGTGTGTGTGTGTGGGTGTTAATTTGTTTCGCAAGACTTCGCTTAGTTAAGTGCTTTTTAAATAAACTCACACAAATTGCCACACAAAACACTGTATACGACTTATTCTACGTATATTTTATATATATTGGTATTTACGCTGAAGTTTGTAGCATTTGCAGCTGCACACAACACTGCTACTGCTGCTGCTGCTGCACACAACACTGTTTTCGTTTGAGCCTCCTTATTGCTTCCTGTGCGCTGCACGCAGCACTGTTTTTTATTTTTTTTTGTGGACACTCAAAACAAATGCATTTGCTGCTGCCGCACACAACACTGTTTCCGCTCCAGCTATTAAGACGAACTTCAATCAAGCTTTGCGGCTGCGCTGCAGACAGCTTTGCTTATAGACGGACGCCTGTTGCCGCTTTGTTGAATGCAGAAAAGCTTTCAAGACACGCCAAAGATTTGTACATACAACAAATACATGCATGCAGACACATATTCGAGATGCCAATGCTGAGCGGTTTTTTCTGCCGTCGCGTTGTTGTTGTTGTTGTTGCCGTTGTCTTATTTTCTTCGTCTAATTTTCTGGCTCTCTTGTGTGGCTTCTTGTGCGCACGTTTGCAGGCGCTCGTTGTCAATTATGTGGAAATACAAATACTGTGCTTGCTGTTGCTGCTGCTGCTGTTGTTGTTGTTGTTGTAGCTCGTTTCTCGTTGTCTGCCTTGCATTGTGTTTGGCACTAGTTGTTGTCACCCTCTCCCCCCTCGTCTGATGCATGTGGTGGCGTTGCCAGCGTCGTCGTCAAGCACGCATGATCTTTTCTCTACTTCTCTTCAGCTATTCGCTTTCGTCTTCGTCTTACAATTGTCTTGTTTTTCTTCTTCTTCTTCTTCTTGTTGTTGTAGTTGTGTGTTTCGTTTCGGTTCTCAGACGTAGCAGAAAATGTTGCTTTTCACTTTTCTGCTCGGTGCTGTGGCTGTGGCTGCTCAATGCCGTTTTTATATTTTGTTTATCATTAATATATAAACACGTTAAAATTCTTTTTTTTTTCCGCTTTACTTTTCTCTTGGCGTCAGTTGAACGAACCACAATTGAATATCAAGCGCGTCAGGCAAAAATAATTCGAAAAAAAATGTACACACACAAATATTTACGCGGAGCTGCACGTCTGCAACGAACGAATACAAAAGGCCGACTGCCGGACTGTTAACTTAACAGGCGTGCATTAATGTTGTTGCGGCGCTGCTGTTCAGGTATCGATACTGCTTAACAGCATGCTGTTGTGGCTATCGATAGCTTGGCGCGTCGCTTATGTTATCTAACAGCACTGTTAGCATGTTAACAGCTGGTGTAGTTATTTAATAGAAAATGGTTATATACTTAGCTAAGGTGGCTGAACATAATATTTTAACGGCATAGCATACTTTCAGGCGGTGATTGTTAAATATTTTCAAGCTTTTGTTATGGGTTGTTGGCGCTGCTAATACTTTTAGGCGCATACTGTTCTCAGTATTTGAGCTTCGGTTTGCTATATTTATGGGTAGAGTTTAATAATAAGGGTTAGCACCGACTTGAACACTTTTTAGTTTGCTATATTATGGTTTAGCATAGACTTGAACCGCTGTTGCGTAAAATCATATTAATATTAAATTTTATATAAAATCAAACTTAAAATTAAAATAATATTTAATGCTACAAATTGAATATTTTATTAATGCACTTTGATTTTTGCTTTTTTTGTTTTATTTATTTTTTAATTTTGTTAATGCCTGGCGAAAACTTCATATCTACATATCTGCATATATTTATCCGCATGTTATCTTTATCTTTATCTAGTTGAAAATCGTGAGTTATGGCTGCACCTAGGCCCCGTTGACACCTCTCGAAAATCTCGAAACTCTTGAAGCTGCGTGGATAAGCGAGAGGGGTAGGAGCTGGCGGTGGAGTGGATCGGGGGTTGGTTTGATTCGTGACTCTCGCCCTATGAGTGTCTATTTTTGGATGGAGTGCAGCAGCACGGCAGGAAAATTGTATAGAAAATAGAAACAAATCCATTTGATTAAAAGTGTATGGTAGCGGTGCGTGTGGGGAGGGGGGAGAGGGGGGGGGGGGTGGTAAGGGCTGACCTGGGTTGGCTTAGCTGGGCTGTGCGTTGTGCTGGATGGTGGCTGGCATTAAGACATCAACTGCACAAAGCAACAGAAACTCTGACAGCAGCTAAAATCGTTAAGCAAGCGATGTGGAACCGGGCGACGGTCACAAATTCACCACGGCCTTGGGACCTGCTGCTCGACCTATGGGTCTCCACAACCACCCAACCACCCAACCACTCAACCACCCAACCACCCAAGCATCCACCTGCATTTTGGGCTTTGGGTGCTCTCTGGTGCTTGAAATTAGATTTTTGACTGAGCGAGCGTCGTCTGGTGGGGCCTGAGGAGCCGCTGCCAAATTGGCCAGTGTTGCATAACATTCGTTGCGCGGTCTTAAGTGCGCTACACGTGCCCAGACAAATGGCTGGGCGGGGGCTGGGGTTGGGGCTTGCGAGCTGAGCCCGAGTAAATCCTTCAAAAGAGCATGTGATTTATAATATGCCCATTGAAGTAGACGGGGCACCTCTATACAAAAAAAAAAATAAGGAGAAGAGTGGGTGGTTGGGTGGTTCTTTGCTTCAGGGGGTTGAGGGTGGAGGGGGGAGGGGGGGTGTGGGTGCGGTGTGAAGCGCCGCCAAGCGGAGCAACAAATAAATGTTTATGAGCGGATTATGTTTGGCTTTACGGAATGCCATTTGAATTTAATGAGCCCAAAGATTAACATGTTGGCATAGTCGGGTATGCGCGACCAGCAGTTACCCTGGAATTAGCATTCCCCTATCTCCGATAAGTAGATGATATTATTTATTATTATTTATTTATTTCCTAGCTTGTTATATCACAGCTCTTAAAAGGAATTGGAATTATTCCAAAAGATGCTCGCCCAACATAACTGGGGAGTTCACAAACTGATTGACCTGAAAGTCTGTATATATATGGATAATATAAAAATGTGCATGCATACCAAAAATCAAGACAGGAACTCGCAGAATTTTCCAGATTTTGAGATTTGAAAGCGTGGTTGGAGCGAATTGAAAGTGAATGCATAAAAGTGATATCTAGTTTATTTGTCTGGCTGTGTGTGCCCCACTTAGCCATTTTACAGGGTATACGCTATGCTCTGGGAATAGGAAAAGTATCGCGACGCTGGCGCATTTTTAATTGAAATATGTCGCCGCGACATTTCATACACATTTAACAATCCATCAGACGGTTCTCTTTTAGCCCCAGCTCCCCTCATCTAATGCCCCGCCTCCGCAAGGCTACTACTACAAGCCCCCCCCCCCCCTTCCACACTCTCCCTCTCTCTCCGCTTCCCACTCACCGGAATCCACTTAATGGCACTCTTGTTGTTCGGCCTGTTGTCTAATTTATGCCGGCATCGTTGCCGCCTTGTCTTCAATTAGTCGCTCGGCAAGCGGCAACTGGCAACTGGCAACTGCAACTGGCAACTGCAACTGCAACTGCCCCTCGGGAGTGCAGCGGCTTCTCTTCTTACACAGCTCAAGCGGTGGAGAGAGCGGGCGGGCGGGCGGTCGGTCGGTCGGGTGAGTTGTGCGCCCTCTTCGCAACGAAAATCAAACTTCAAACTATTCGTCTAGCATTACTTGATACTTAACCGACCTTTATTTATGTCCCTGTCAACGCCTCTCAGCTGCTCAATTTTCCAAATACGCAAAAAAAAAACAACTCTCAAAAAAATGAGAAACATTTCGAATAGCCGAAGTCCTTGATACCCTAACTCTTCTCAAAAGTTGTTGATGTTTCTTTGATTTGCTTAAATAACATTAAGCTGGCAACTTTTTTGTAAATGTGCCTGTTAAAGTTGACAGCCGCTTTAACATTTACTCTTAAAGTTTGACGAATCTGTTTGCAGTGCTGCCACCTTTGTTAATTTATGGCCCATCTGGCAGCACTGAAGAAAGCTGGTGAAGAAAGCTTCTTAAAAAGGAAAATCATGTCAATAGACATATTTGTTCATATGCATATCGAAACGAATTGTTTGTGTTGATTTGCACAGAATGCGGCGTTGCCAGATGAGGCTACGGCGTTGCCACACTTTTGTCTATTTGAATACACTTCAACTCTAGTTTCACTTCAGTATAAGCAAAGTTTCTTTTCGCTTGACTTTGTCACACAAGTCCCAACGGAATGAATATACTCTCGGCGAGGGCATATTTTTATATCTGTCTGCCTTTGTGGCGGCGGGAGGAGGGGGGCGGGGGGGGGTGCGTCTTGCAGTGGCTCTTTGTTAATTGAAACCTGTTGTAAATCACAAATCATATCGACTGGCGTCACTTGTCCCAACAGCAGCAGCAGCAACAGTTGCAGATGTCGTCGGTTTTTCATATTCGAAAAGCTCGAGAGGGGGCGAGTGCAACATCTTGCATTACATTTGGGGGGCCCATTTCATTTTGGGCAGATCATAAGTTCACAAAATGCCCATGCAATATCTGAGTGAGTGTATTCATTATGAGTCAAGCGAATGCGGCCCAAGACAAAGCTGAAAATAGTATGGGCATATGCTCTTCTCATGCATTATGATTTTATAATAGAGTTTCTAGAGTTGTGCTTAAAGGGAGTCGTGCTAAAATCGATATTTATCGATTTAAGCCGTGCTTCTATCCAATTTCAGAGTATCTGCTAGTTCTATAAAACAATTCGAGACAATATATAGGCAGACTAACTGGTGTTACCCGGCCAAGCCTAGTTCCTGAATGTCGAGCCGAAACTTTGCCCAGCTTGACTTTGACTCCCATTTCCACTAAAGTGGATTTGCCGAAAAGTGTGGAAAAGCTGTCATGCGTATTTGAAAGGTAAACAAACACTTTGTAACTCTCCGGAATTACAAAAATAAAACCTAAAGCAACTAGAAAGCAACTACTTGCTAGTTGGTCTCTTGAATAACCCTGAAAAGTGGTGAGAGAGGGGAATGTCATAATCGATCACAATATTGAAATGGAATCAGACAACTGTAAACTAATGACATTTCCAGTTTCCATACACAAGCCAAACAGGCCGCCCTCAAGAGCGGCTACTGAGGCTATGATCCTGTCTGGTCCTTGAGTCCGTCTATCTCATATGGGTGTCCTTTGTGCACGGGGGTTGCTCATTTGTTTGTTTTGAGTGGGTCGCTTGGCTGTCCAAATATGCGGCAGCTTGTAACAATTACCAAATGACACCCTCGACAATGGGAATTGTGCGTCCTGTACGAGGGTACGGCCAACTTCCAATCTTCCGGCCAGACAAATGCTCAAAATTATTCACTTGTCGCAAAATCAATGACAATAATTTTGCCATTAGTTGTTGTTGCTGTTTGTTGTCGCAAATGAAGTAATCAAACGAAATCAACTTAAAATTCAGTGTCGAAATTTATGAGCTGGAAACGTTTGGATTCATGTCCCTCTGCCCAGGCACTTGCCACTTGCCACTTGCCACTCGCCTTGGGGTTGTATCAAAAATACTCCAGATGTGTCTTTAGCTATGCTAAGCGCCAGGACATCTGCAGAGCTGTGTACCTCCGTCCATTTGGCTAAAAGTCAAATTTATTCCAGCTCTAAGCTACAAATCCATTCAGCAGAGATTTCAATTTCCCATTGAATACTTGCTTGCAGAATTCTACTGAAGGCGCACTAAAAAGTGAGACATCCGTTGAGCTCAGTTCAATTTGAATTAAATTGATATTATGCCAAGTTGCAACCTGACTTCGGTTCTCTTCACAGGAAACTTAGTTAAGGCAAAAAAACGTTGTATCTAATTAGATCTTCAACTCCAACCTTTGCTCTCTTTCAAATGATTTTAGATTCCACTCAGTCCTCGGGAGATTAACTATGCAGCTATTAAATGAAATATTGAAATAATAAAATGGAATATAGAAAAGGATAAATTGATTAAAATAAATATTATTCCTGAAATTGCTTTCTCGAATTGAGGAACTACTCAAATGTAAGTCATATTTTATAGTCTAATTTTAATTTCGTTAAGAGTCCTCAAATGTGTGTTTAATTAACCGAAGCCTGGAATTTAGTTGAACGGAATTTCGTCTACCAATTTCCATATTCGAGGAAAGTGTCCTGTGAAGCAAGTCTTGGCGCGGTTAGA